TCAACATGAATGGCCATCGTGCGATGTTATTTGAAAATTTCGCTTTCGTATTCCCCAGATATAATGTTTTCCATTTGATTCTTTGGTTGTTTCTGCTACCAGGTCTTTGCATGGTACTCGATCTCATAACATGGCATGCCAGTAACAAAGTGACAGTCAGTTGACAGCTCTGCAATTCTCTTAACGCGAACACCCATTACAGAGCACCTTAAGTGTAATACGATTATCAAATCGATCATCAGCTTCTGTACGCAAGCTTTCCTATACGGCTGACATCAATATAACCATTTAACGTGTCACGGTATAATTGGTTTATGGCTGACAAGTCTCGTCTTGCGTTGAACGCAAGATCGGACAGAATATGAGGGTAAACCTGGATGAAAGGTTGGTGTTTAATAAACATATTCATCTTCAAGGAGAATAACGAAGCATCACGCTTTTTACCTTTGTCGAAGAATGATGTTATTCTTTCCAAATTTTACGCACTGCTTTACGTGATTGTTCTATACCGTAGTCATGAGTATCAGGTTCTTTTTCTTACCTTCTACCGTTCCTAATGACTGTGATGAATATAGTTTTTTTGGAGGGTGACGATGTGATGTATAAGTGGGTCCACTTGATTTCTGAATTTTGTTTATCATGTTTATCTGATAAAAGAAAAATATTTGCTGTGCATTTATTTAACATCATCCAGAAAGCATCTTTCGGACCTTCGTTTTATTTAGCACATGAGTCCGTCACATTGATAGAGATTTAAGACGGTATGAGAATAAGTTTCACAGCGTTGTAGGTGAAGACTAATGTATAGGTTGGAACTCCAGTTTTTCATTCATTCAGTTGCTCATTCGGTACAGCGTCAGACTAACATCCGAGAGGCGCGCATTTATATTATGATCGGGTCATTTGCCTTTATTTCGCAGTAGATAAATGAACGCCACTCTGTGGGAAGGGAACAGCAGATTACACATCATGCTTGCCTCACGCCTGTGGCTCCTGCCTTCAAAAAATATTTAGGCGCCCCTGACTGATCTAATGGAGACGGGTATCAAGTCTACGCCGTATGCTTCCCGCGGAAACAAAGGCCACCACACATAGACCCCAATCGCGGAGTATAGAAATACAGATCGACTTGAATTTCAGTCTGAGTTTGAAATCAGAATATTGTTTTCCTTGATACATTCGTTTTGAATGCACGAAGTGGATCAATCAACCTTGATTGCTAGTGCTTGATTATTTTACCGTTTGTAACAATTCTTTCTGCCTAAGGATAAACCGCGCCATGTAAATTTTTACTAACTTCTCTCCATGATTTTATTGATTGGATTTAAATAGAATAGTGTAAAATCTACGCATAATCGGATTACATGATCGTACGAAAGGTTTGCTTTGCGCCGGTAAGATTTTCAGATCATTACGATCGGTTCGTTAACACTAAAGAGGTGGTGAAGTTGTCTTCTTCCTAACTCGCTGATTTCTTTGGGTCGTTAATTAAAGACTGACTTCTCGTAACGAAAAGATCAATGCCAGATGAAAAGATGAATTTCTGTTTATTCTTTCAAAAGTCATTTCAACAGTCTCTTGGCACAGTCCAGGGATCTAGAGACATATCTATTTTTTCACTCAATGCACTTGAATGAATGTGCTCATTTAGTAATCTCGCCTACATTCGTATGTTTATGACAAACATTTGTGGCTTTGTTCCTTTGCAAATGTTTAGTAGATTTAATTGGTATTTCAATTGTTCTTATTCTATTTATTTTCATTTACTTGCACGAGCTTGTTTTGAAGGAGGCCCTGCTTACTTTCTAAGTCGAAATAATTGCAGCCTTGACATTTTGACAGTGGAATTGTTTCGCCTTTTTGAATTTTAAGGTAAGTCATTTATGCTCCTTTCGTAGTTTATTCGAATGTGTCAAATCTGTGCGCGGCATATGTCATAATTAGGCATAGTTCAATCAGTACATACCGTCTTTATACCTTTTCTATCATATAAATTGGATAATTGGCAAGGTTTGGTGGATGTTTCTTGATTTCCGAGTAGCTTTTGTTGCTAGGGTGGCATTTTGAACACCAGCATGCCACTGAACTTATGGAAATTCTGTTTAGGATCCCAGTAGGGAATCGGACTCCAAGGCGACTTCTTGTGCGCTGTGCCACCACGCCACACTTGACCGCCGGACTTCAAACTGTGAGAATCAGGGTTAGAGCCCCGATCTGGTCACTTGCCTTTCTCTCTTCCGATGTTGATAAATGAGTATCAGCTTTTGGGAAGGAAGCTGGAGACTACACATTATACTCGTTGCATAGCTGTTGTTGACTAACCTTTAAAAGGTAAGACACTGCTCTCATAAAAGTAGAAATCAGCTCCCAACATTAATTTAATGAATAGGATGGAATTAGAGATGGCTCCACCTTGAAAATGTGAGGATGAACTACAGTAGTTACTAACTTTCCTGTCCTATTCGTTA